ACAACCTCTGCCTCCCAGGTTCAAGCAATTCTCCTGCCTCAAATTCCCAAGTAGCTGAGATTATAGGCATGCACCACCACACCTGGCTAATTTTTGTATTTTTTTTTTTTTTTTTTGAGACAGTCTCACTCTGTCGCCAGGCACCAGGCTGTAGTGCAGTGGCACAATCTCGGCTCACTGCAACCTCTGCCTCCCGGGTTCAAGCAATTCTCCTGCCTCAGCCTACCGAGTAGCTGGGACTACAGGCACACACCACCACGCCCAGCTAGTTTTTGCATCTTTAGTAGAGACAGGGTTTCACCATGTTGGCCAGGATGATTTTGCTCTCTTGATCTCGTGATCCGCCCGCCTTGGCCTCCCAAAGTGCTAGGATTACAGGTTTGAGCCACTGCGCCCGGCTGAATTTTTATATTTTTTTAATAGAGTCAGGGTTTCACCATGTTGACAGGTTTCACCATGTCAGGCTGGTTTCCATTTTATATCAACTCTGGCAAGTAGATGTGCCATAAAACCTACAGAGTGCCTGAAAAGGAGACATTCTCCTCATTTTCTCCTTATTCTTAGATTTGTTTCCCGCTTTTTTTTTTCTTAAGAGGAACTGAGCTATAACCTAGGGTTCTTGTGTGGTGGATCAATGCATGCTGCTTGTGGGCATAACTCAACAGTGTGTCACCACTGAGTCGTTTCTGCCCTCTTATGTGTCTCAGTTTTTCTCTGCAGAAGTCTATGATATCTGAGAGGGCTCAAAACGCTTGGTGACCAGCCCTTATATGTGCTTCCTGAATCAGCCATCTTTAAAATTAATTTTTGTTGAGGATTTCCCTGTAGGGCCACTGTACTTTTCAGAGGGTCAACCCCCCAGACACTCCCACAAGGCCCTCAGTCACGCAGGGGCATGTTTTGGCTGAGAGGAGCAAATGCCCTTTCCCTTCAAAGCTGAAGAACTCAGTCTCTCATATATCTATGAAAACAACAATTCAGTTCCTCACACAAATGCACACAAACGAACCAAATCAAGATAAATTTTAGGAGAAAAAGCAATAGAGAATTCCCTTCACAATGCATCTCCAACTACAATTAGGATCTTTAACTAACAACTTCCTAGGAGAAAACCAGCTCAGAATAAATCAAGAACCATCAACCAAGGGAGGTCTGGGGCTCAGGAGGACTTACCAGTTCCACCAGAGGAGAAGCTCAAACTCAGTGGGGCTTCAATGGGCCCCTGCTTGTACCGTAGCTCTGGTTTCAGACAACTCCTTAGGGGTCCTGAGTCTTCTCTGAGACACACGTTGGGCACCATATTATTGTTGCCAAAAAGAGTCAAACTCTGTAAAACATTTTAAGAGATTTATTCTGAGCCAAATGTGAGTGGCCATGGCCTCTGACACAGCCCTCAGGAGGTCCTGAGAACATGTGCCCAGGGTGATCGGGATACAGCTTGGTTTTTTATATTTTAGGGAGGCATGAGCCAGCAATCAAATACATTTAAGAAATACACTGGGGCCGGGCGCGGTGGCTCAAGCCTGTAATCCCAGCACTTTGGGAGGCCGAGGCGGGCGGATCACGAGGTCGACAGATCGAGACCATCCTGGTCAACATGGTGAAACCCCGTCTCTACTAAAAATACAAAAAAAAAAAAAAAAAAAAAAAATTAGCCGGGCATGGTGGCGCGTGCCTGTAATCCCAGCTACTCAGGAGGCTGAGGCAGGAGAATTGCCTGAACCCAGGAGGCGGAGGTTGCAGTGAGCCGAGATCGCGCCATTGCACTCCAGCCTGGGTAACAAGAGCGAAACTCCGTCTCAAAAAAAAAAAAAAAGAAATACACTGGTTTCATTCAGAAAGATGGGACAACTCAGAGCAGAAGGCTTCCGGACTATAGGTAAATTTAAACATTTTCTGGCAGACAATTGGTTGAGTTTGTCTAAAGACCTGGGATTCATAGAAAGGAACGTTCAGGTTATGATAAAGGATTGTGGAGACCAAGTTTTATTCTGCAGAGGAAGCTCTCAGAAGACTTCAGAGATAGTAGGTTGAAAATTGTTTCTTATTGGACTTAAAAGGGTGCCTAGCTCTTAGTTACTTATCTCCTGGATCTGGGAAGGAAAGAAGGAGGGAGAACAAAGGGGAGAGGGTATTCTTTATAAAATGTGGATTTTTCCCACAAGAGACGTTGCAGGGCAATTTCAAGGTATGGGAAGGAAACAGACTTTGGGGTAAAACATTTTTATTTTCTTCCTTGTTATGCCAGAGTCAGATTGGAAAGTAAATCACAATCAATATACAGGGTTAAATAAAACCCATCTGACGAGAATTTATGGTTTGTAGGGCATGACTCCTCAGACCCCTTAGAAAGAAATTTGAGCAACGTAAAAAAAAAAAAAAAAATCAGAGCTTAGTCCTCAGTCCCCCAGCTTGGCCAAAAAGCATTCCATAGAATACACGTGTAGGCCAACAAACACTAGCAGATCCCACGGTGCTAGAAAACCTCATTCCTAGAGTTGTCTGGCCATCTGGCAGGGTCCCACAGTGCTGGGAAGGCTTGTTTCTAGAGTCCTTTAATTTGATGGTAATAGTTTCACATATTAGTGATTTGGATAATGGGCAGGACATGGTCTGACCTGATGTAACAGCCAATTGTTTAAGAGGGGAAGTGGAGTCAGGCTAAGTCTAAAAAATCACCCTGAACAAAGGGGAGAGGGTATTCTCTAGAGAATGTGGATTTTAAAGTATTTCCTGAGCTATTATGATACAGGTCTTTAATCGTGCCTTTCCCTTTTGCTTTATCTGGCATAACATTACAAGAAATGCCTAATGTTAGGCTGGGCATGGTGGCTCAAGCCTGTAATCCCAGCACTTTGGGAGGCCAAGGCGGGTGGATCACGAGGTCAAGAGATCGAGACCATCCTGGTCAACATGGTGAAACCTCGTCTCTACTAAAAATAGAAAAAATTAGCTGGGCATGGTGGTGCGTGCCTGTAATCCCAGCTACTCAGGAGGCTGAGGCAGGAGAATTGCCTGAACCCAGGAGGCGGAGGTTGCGGTGAGCCGTGAGCCGAGATCGCGCCATTGCACTCCAGCCTGGGTAACAAGAGTGAAACTCCGCCTCAAAAAAAAAAAAAAAAAAAAATGCCTAATGTTAATATAGTAATAGATATCATAAAGAGAGTGAAGATTTGGGCATTCAAGGTTATAGGTAAAATCGGAGGACAGTAAACAACCCAATCAGCAAGGAAAAACCCTACATGCATCATCATATTCTTTGATTAGATTTACAGTGTATTTACCCACGTTATTAAGGGTTATTTGAACCCTGTGATAAATCTTACTTGAAAATTGTGGGACCAACATTAAATTAGAATGTAATACATTTAAGCTCTCTTCCGGCCAATTTATCTCCATAGGTATGGCATCCTGAGGAGGGTATAAATTAATTGTGAGAAACACCTGGTCCTTGCTGTTTAAATTGTTACAGACTTGACAACAGTAGACAAACCTATGTTTCCTACCACTTTTGTATTGCACCATATACTGATATTTGGGAGAGAAAGGTTTTGTCACAGAAGTCAGATAATTCTACAGTGTTATATTTTCCTTGGCAGGACTCCCTATGGCTAAGGGCCTTAAGAGTCAAAAGACTTGCCTTTCGGCAGGAACCGCCATGTTCCAGTAATTCCCCAAAATGACGAACACAAAGGGAAAGAGGAGAGGCACTCGATACATGTTCTCTAGGCCTTTTAGAACACATGGAGTTGTTCCTTTTGCCACATATATGCGAATCTATAAGAAAGGTGATATTGTAGACATCAAGGGAATGGGTACTGTTCAAAAAGGAATGCCCCGCTAATGTTATCATGGCAAAACTGGAAGGGTCTACAATGTTACCCAGCATGCTGTTGGCATTGTTGTAAACAAACAAGTTAAGGGCAAGATTCTTGCCAAGAGAATTATGTGCGTATTGAGTACATCAAGCACTCTAAGAGCAGAGACAGCTTCCTAAAACGTGTGAAGGAAAATGATCAGAAAAAGAAAGAAGCCAAAGAGAAAGGTACCTGGGTCCAACTGAAGCGCCAGCCTGCTCCACCCAGAGAAGCACACTTTGTGAGAACCAATGGGAAGGCGCCTGAGCTGCTGGAACCTATTCCCTATGAATTCATGGCATAATAGGTGTCAAAAAAAAAAAAAAAAAAAAGACCTCTGGACTGTTAAAAAAAAAAAGAGTCAAAAGACTTACAGCCGCCGGGCACGGTGGCTCAAGCCTGTAATCCCAGCACTTTGGGAGGCCAAGGCGGGTGGATCACGAGGTTAAGAGATCGAGACCATCCTGGTCAACATGGTGAAACCCTGTCTCTACTAAAAAATACAAAAAACTAGCTGGGCATGGTGGCACGTGCCTGTAATCCCAGCTACTCAGGAGGCTGAGGCAGGAGAATTGCCTGAACTCATGAGGCGGAGGTTGCGGTGAGCCAAGATCGCGCCATTGCACCTCCAGCCTGGGTAACAACAGCGAAACTCCGTCTCAAAAAAAAAATAAATAAATAAAAGACTTACAACCAATTAATTGTTTTAGGCCATGTAGGAATGGATGCAGACAGGCATTCATTACTTCTTAAAATTATTGTTTTAAGTTAAAAAAAACAACCGGCAATAAAACCAAAAAGCAAGGTTACAGGACTTATTTTTATTATTTTATTTTATTTTTTATGGAGATGGAGTCTCGCTCTGTCGCCCATGCTGGACTGCAGTGGCAAGATGGCAGCTCACTGCAACCTCTGCCTCCCAGGTTCAAGCAATTCTCCTACCTCAGCCTCCCGAGTAGCTGGGATTACCAGCCGTCACCACCATGCCTGGTGGTTTTTTTTTTTTTTTTTTAAAGGGGGTTGTTTCAGAATAAATGAATGGAGAAATACAATGATATAGATCAAACTAAATGGATATAAAAAGTTGGGTAAAAAGGCTTTTCAGACACCACCACCGCTGCCAGAAGCCGTGTACTGTCAGCCATGGCCAACCCCACTGTGTTCTTCAATATCTCCGTCAACGGCAAGTCCTTGGGCCGCGTCTCCTTCGAGCTGTTTGCAGACAAGGTTCCAAAGACAGCAGAAAACTTTCGTGCTAAGAGCACTAGAGAGAAAGGATTTGGTTACAAGGGTTCCTGCTTTCACAGAATTATTCCCGGGTTTATGTGTCAGGATGGTGACTTCATACACCATAATGGCACTGGCGGCAAGTCCATCTACAGGGAGAAATTTAATGAGAACTTCATCCTAAAGCATACAGGTCCGCGCATCTTGTCCATGGCAAATGCTGGACCCAACACAAATGGTTCCCAGGTTTCCATCTGCACTGCCAAGACTGAGTGGCTGGATGGCAAGCATGTGGTCTTTGGCAAGGTGAAAGAAGGCATGAGTATTGTGGAGACCATGGAGCACTTTGGGTCCAAGAATGGCAAGACCAGCAAGAAGTTCACCATTGCTGACTGTGGACAACTCTAGTAAGTTTGACTTGTGTTTTATCTTAACCACCAGACCATTCCTTCTGTAGCTCAGGAGAGCGCCCTCCACCCCACTTGCCTGCAGTGGCCTATCATCTTTGTGCTCTCGCTGCAGTACCCTTTGGGTTCCATGATTTCCTTGTTCCCTTCCCTGCCTAGCTGGATTGCAGAATTAAGTTTATGACTTATGAAATAAAAACTAAATACAAACAATAAAAAAACTTGGGAAAAGAAAAATAAGAATGGAAACAAATTCCAAGAGGTAATAAAAGGTTTATGGACAGTTTACCTTGTGTAGCCATAGCTGACCAAGATTAGACAGATTTGTTTGCAAAGTGTATTAAAATAAGCTTTAGTATTAAAAGCACATTTATATATAATACATAAGACATATAAAATGTATATTATAAAATATATAACATATAATGTATATTATAATGTATAATGGATATAAAAAGTTGGGGAAAGAGGCTTTGAAGATGCTGCCGCCGCTTCCAGGAGCCCTGTACTATCAGCCATGGTCAACCCCAGTTTTATATCCATTATAATGTATAATGTAGAATATAATGTATATTATATATATTATAAAATATAGAACTATTTTATATACATTTTTATAACTATTTTATTCTACATTATATATTATAAAATATAGAACTATTATATAATACATCATAAAGCATATTGAATATTATATATCACATAAAATATATATTATCCATATTACATAAAATATAATATATATATATATATTTTGAGACAGAGTTTTGCAAGTTGGAGTGCAATGATGTGAGGCTGGCTCACTGCAACCTCTGCCTCCCAGGTTCAAGTGATTCTCCTGCCTCAGCCTCTGGAGTAGCTGGGACTACCAGTGCCCACCACCATGCCCAGGTAATTTTTTGTACTTTTAATAGAGACAGGGTTACACCATGTTGGCCAGGCTGGTCTCAAACTCCTGAGCTCAAGAAATCCACCTGCCTTGGCTTCCAAAAGTGCTGAGATTACAGATGTGAGCCACCATGCCCTGCCAAGTGTTGTATTTTCAAGGAGGCTCATGGAAAGGATGGGAAAAATTCTGACAAATACAGGTTTCTGATAACTCTGAAACTATATCATTGGACTAGGTAAAAATTTCCAAAGTCTAATGAAAATAAAACTGGTCTTATAAAATTACTAACCTCCAGACTAATGTTTTCCATTTTTCACCCACTCTTCTGACTTGGAATCACTAAAAATTAAAACGGCGTTTTTGGGCTTGGTGCAGTGGCTCATGCCTGTAAATCCCAGCTCCTTAGGAAGCCAACTCAGGAGGATTCCTTGAGTTCAGGGGTTCAAGACCAGCCTGAGCAACATAAAGAGACCCCATCTCAGAAAAAAAAAAACTAAACAAATTAGCCAGGTGTGTGGTACATGCCTTTGGTCCCAGCTACTTGGGAGGATGAGGTGGCAGGATGGCTTTGTCCAGGAGGTTAAGGCTGCAATGAGACACGATCACACCACTGCACTCCAGCCTGGGTGACAGAGCAAGACCTTGTCTCAACAAAAAAACCCAAAAACCCAAACAAAAGACCCTGCCTTTTTTCTCTGGCCTCACCAGCTAAAGCTAGTCAATCTGGCCCTTTGTCTATGCTTACATTTTAGCTCAAATGTTAGCTACGTGGAAAGAGCATCTCTGGTCACTCTAGCTAAAGTAGTTCTGCCCCTCAACATCTTTTTCTCTTGAGAGATGGTCTCATCTGCTGCCCAGGCTGGACTGCAGTGGCACTATCTTGGTTCACTGCAGCCGGAAAAAAAAAAAAAAATCACAACAGCTTATATTTGGACAAACTTTACACACAACCTACAATCTAGGAAAATAGATTATTATTAATCTTGCCAACTGACTGCCCTCCAGACGCTAAAGAAACTAGTGTATAGAGTACACCAGACATTAAGCTTCGTTTGTCTTGTTCCATAGAAATGTCTCATTAAAGATCTGTTTGCTTACATCATATATAGAGTCCTAGCTTTGAGAACTCATCTACAATGCCATCTCCTGAAATGAGACACAACAATTTAACTGGACTGGCCAAATGAGAGACTGGTTTAATGGGATCCTTTGCCAATCAATTACTAGCCTGATTTCTCTCTCCAAAGACAGCTACTCAGCTTATAGTGAAACTTCTAAGGAAGTTTCAAACAAAGGATATAAAGGAGACCAGGGACTCACACTCCAAAATATAGCATCCTATATGTTAATTATTTTAAATTAAAGGCCCTTGGATTCCATCAGATACTGGAAACAGCTTTACTCTGATAACTACCTTATTTGCCTAAAGTCCAGACCTGTCAAAGAAGACAACAGTTACTTCTAGTCTCTTCTCTGAGTTTTCATTAATTTAACTTATAGTACAGGACGAAAGATTGAAACCTGTCAACACACCTGGACAGACTTTTGTCAGAAACCATTGTCTGCTCTGCAGGCTCAACAGTAATTGTCCCAGGCCACTGAATCACCCTAAAAATCATTTACCATCCACCTTAAAATCACCCACATTTCCCCATCTCCCATATTCCTATGAAGAAGGGCTTATAAGCCTCTGTACCCCACTGGGTCATTCTCCTACAATTCCCTCATGCTAAAAATGTCTATTAACGTGCCCTTTGCCGGTTGATTCAAGAAACCCTCAGAGAGCAAAGGGGAAGCTTTTCCTTGCCCCCCACATGCTATATGGCAGAGGGCAAAGCGCTTTAAGTTAATGCTCTGAGCAGTCCCTCCACCCCTATCGAGGAAGCACAGCAAGGAGCTTGGGACAGATTTCTTTACGACCTATTTTTTTTACAATTCCTTTACAATCGCCCAAAAATTTTATCCACTTTCACATCCTCAGGATCCTGCAGAGTGCCTAGAGTGTACACTGTAGAAATATTTACTGAATTAAGAAACGGCTGACAGTGTGTGCAGATAGTGCGGCCAGAGGAGCAGTTTCAAGTCCCAGGCACTCATTAGTTGTGTGACCTGGGGAAAGTCGCCTAAATATACCGAGCTCTATTTCTTCACCAATGAAACAAGAATACTACTATTTCTCTTGTCTACCTTACTGGCTCCTCAGGAGGCTTTACTTAATGAGCGGCACTGTAAAACGCTGTACACGTGTATGTAGAGTTTTCATAGGAATGTTGATTAGTCTGAATGGTGAAATGGAAAGAAACCTGGACTCAACAGTCAGAAGCTGTTGGGCCGCTCGCTGTGAAGGGGCTGCGACTAACCGGTTCCGTTTTCTCATCTTAAACACAAAGTTTAGACTTGATGATGGTCCGGACTCTGTACTTAATATTTGCAAGTCCGCTACAGGCTCAGAACCTCAAGCGTCCTCAGAAAGGTAAACCCCGGGGTTCCCAGATGCCCCTGCAAGGGCAGGGGCAGTCAAGGTCGCGGGGTACTAAGAAGCGGGACGCTCACCCAGTCAAAGTCACACGGGTTGCCGTCTTCGCGTTGGGTGGGCAGACCGTTGCAGAGCGGCGGCAGTTTCCTCACGAGTAGGAAGGCAGCAGAGAGCAGGGCCGACAGAAGGTAGTAAGGTTGGGCCAGCCATCGTGAAAGTCGCGGCACAGAATACACCAGAGCAATTAGAGGTGCCAGGATCGCCATCTTTCCGGCCGCTACGGCCAGGGCTCATTGGCGTTGTAGGTCTGGCCCCGCCTCCCCCACCATAGAGACTGCTATTGGGCCGTATCTCAAATGTACCGCCTCTAAATCCGGATGTAGCTCTCTGGACGCTGTGGTAGGTCAGAACCCAAACAAGACTTTAACATATTATTGGTGAGTCTAGCTGTCGCTTTATCCACCTAAGTCATTTTATTGGACTGTAGCAAGGGAAGCAAGCAGAAGAATCTAATAAGGTTAAATAGCACTTTCTAAACGTTCTCATAAGGCGACGGAAGTAGTTGCTGAAACGAGGTAGGCGGTGCCTGAGGCATCCAATGACAAGCGGCTCCTTGAGAAAGAGGGCGGTACGCCTTAAAAGCATTGTCCAATGAAAATTACCAACCCCAGACACCTAGGCAGCGCCGAGGCGGAGGGGACGATGGAGAATTTCACGGCACTGTTCGGGGCTCAGGCTGACCCGCCACCGCCCCCAACCGCACTCGGCTTCGGACCAGGAAAGCCTCCACCCCCGCCACCACCTCCTCCGGGCGGGGGTCCCGGCACGGCCCCGCTTCCCACCGCAGCCACGGCCCCTCCCGGCGCGGACAAGTCAGGACCTGGCTGTGGCCCTTTTTACCTAATGAGGGAACTGCCAGGTGAGTGCGCGACCTTACCAAAGGCAGCCAATCAAATCTTAGAGAGGAGGTGATGGGCGTGGTTCTCAGCCGGCTAGCGGAGGTGCCAGGTAACCTAGGAAAGGCATACCCGGGGGAACCTTAAGTCGGAAGGGCTGTTAGGATTCACAAGCAGAGGGATGACTTGAATTCAGCCAAATGACGGGGGAGAGGGACCGTGCATCTCCATGACTATCTTTAGCGCCATGTCCAGGCTCTGTCCCTGACACTGGTTTATGTCTCCCTAAAAAGATGATCCAGGACTGGGCGCGGTGGCTCATGCCTGTAACCCCAGCACTCTGGGAGGCGGAGGCGGGCGAATCACCTAAGGTCAGGAGTTTGAGACCAGCCTGATCAACATGATGAAACCCCCTCTCTACTAAAAATACAAAAATTAGCCGGGCATGTTTGCGTATACGTCTAATCCCAGCTACTCAGGTGACTGAGGCGGGAGAATCGCTTTGAACCCTGGAGGCCGAGGTTGGGGCGAGCCTAGATTGCTCCACGGGCGATAGAACGAGACTCCGTCTCAAAAACAAAAGATCCAGGAGATCCAGGGTTTCAGTTTGGAACTTAAGAGGCCTGATTTAATATATTTGGGGACCCAAAGTTTTAATTTTGCTGTTGGTTTGGGGCAAGTTGCCATTATTCCTTCTAAGGTTCTGGCGTTTCCTGGTCTGTTCAAAGAAGGGATAAGAA